ATTTCAAAAACATGTTCGCACCAAAACAAATTTACTTGAGACCTATTTTTTCTCATGAGCTCTTTTAAAAAGGAGTTTAATGTGATCCAGAATTGAGATGGGGCATTGTGAATACAATGAATTCTTTTCAACAATGTTTCTAAAATATGAAGGGAAGAAAAGTTAAAACCCGTATAAAATATTTCAAAAATCAATGATCACAAATAGATTTTGTAATAAAATTTCCATTTTTTCTTTTCTCTTTTTAAAAAAAGATTTATTTAGTAATTTACTTATTTGAAAGGCAGACTTAGAGAAAAGCAAAGACACAAAGAGAAGGATCTTTCAGCCACTTGTTCACTTTCCAAATGGCTACCATGGCCAGGGCAAGCCAGGCAGGAGCCAGGAGCCTGGAACTCCATCTGGTGCTTCCATGTGGGTAGAAGGAGCCCAAGTGCTCAAGCCATCTTCCGTGTGTTCCCAGGTGCATTAGCAAGGAACTGGATCAGCCAGGACTTGAATCAGTGCTCACATGGGATGCCAGCATCTCAGTAGGGAGCTTAAGCCATTGCACCACAACACTGGCCCCATTTTTTTCCCCTTTTGGCAGTACCTTGGATGTCAGTTAACTCCAGCATGAGTTTCCTAAAATGCTTTATTGATTTATTTTTATTTGTTTGAAAGGCAGAGACAGGGACAGAAGATCTTCCATCTGCTGGTCCACTGGCTAAGTGCTGGTCCACTGGCTAAGTGCTGGCCCAGGCCAAAGCCAGATCCAGAACTCAATCCAGGGCTCCTCATGGGTGGCAGAGATCCACCTACTTGAGCCATCACCTGCTGCTTCCTTGGGTGTGCATTAGTAAGAAGCTAGAATATGGGGTCCAGCACTGTGGCATAGCAGGTAAAGCCGCCGCCTGCAGTGCTGGCATCCCATATGGGCGCCAGTTCAAGTTCCGGCTGCTCCATTTCCCATCCAGCTCTCTGTTATGGCCTGGGAAAGCAGTAGAAGATGGCCCAAGTCCTTGGGCCCCTGCACCCACGTGGGAGACCCGGAAGAAGCTCCTGACTCCTGGCTTCAGATTGGCCCAGCTGCAGCTGTTGCAGCCATTTGGGGAATGAACCAGTGGGTGAAAGACCTCTCTCTCTTTCTCTGCCTCTCCTTCTCTCTCTGTGTGACTCTGACTTTCAAATAAATGAATAAATATTTTAAAAAATTAAAGAAGCTAGAATGTGGAGCAGAGCTGGGACTTGTACCTGGCTCTCTGATATGGGATATAGGTATCCCAATTTCTTAACCACCATGACAAATGCCTACCCCTGGCCAATTTGGTCTGGACAAGGGATTAAAAATAATTTAATGGGCTGGCGCCGCGGCTCACTAGGCTAATCCTCCGCCTGCGGCCCTGGCACCCCGGGTTCTAGTCCCAGTTGGGCCACCAGATTCTGTCCCAGTTGCCCCTCTTCCAGGCCAGCTCTCTGCTGTGGCCCGGGAGTGCAGTGGAGGATGGCCCAAGTCCTTGGGCCCTGCACCCACGTGGGAGACCAGGAGAGGCACCTGACTCCTGGCTTTGGATCAGTGTGGTGGGCCAGCCGGCCGAGGCGGCCATTGGAGGGTGGACCAACGGCAAAGGAAAACCTTTCTCTCTGTCTCTCTCTCTCTTTGTCCACTCTGCCTGTCAAAAAAAAATAATAATTTAATGGAAAATGATTTTATTTCAACAAATGATGTTGGAACAATTGTATATCCATATAAAAAATGATTTTTGACCCTTTATACCATACACAAAAACTAACTCAAAATGAATCAGTTAAAATGCCTAGCAGAAAACATTAGAAAAATTTCATCATGTTGGGGTTGGCAATCAACACAAAAAGCATGAGCCATAAAAGACAAAATTAATAGACACTGGGTTTGGTGATCATTTCTTGGATGTAACATCAAAGGTAAAGGCCCCAAAAGAAAAACTGTACACAATTAGGTGTCATAAACATTACATTTTTGGGATCAAAAGACACTCTCAACAGAATTAAATATCATCCCACAAAATGGGATCATCGTATACCGGATGTGGTGTTAATAGCAGAATATATAGAGAGCACTTCAAACCCAGCAATAAGGGGCACCGCAGGTTAAGCTGCTGCTTGCCACGTGGACATCCCACATGGGAGTGTCCTTTCAAGTCTGGCTGCCCTGTCCCCCTTTGTATTTCCTGCTAAAGTGCCTGGGAAGGCAGTGGAAGATGGTCCAAATACCTGGGCCCCTGCCACCCACGTGGGAGAGCAGGGTGGAGTTCCAGGCTCCTGGACTTGGGCCTGGCCAGTCCTGTCTGTTGTGGTCATCTGGGAGAGTGAACCAGAAGATGGAAGGTCTCTGTCTCTCTCCCTCTCTCTGTCTCCCCTTCTCCGTCTCTCTTTGTTGCTTTGCCTTTCACATAAATAAATAAATCTAAAAAAAAAAAAAGCTGAGCAATAAAAAAGTAAACAACCTGATTCAAAAATGAGCAAATGACTTGAATAGACATTTCTCCAAAAACAGAAATATAAGTGGCCAACAAACACATGAAAATGTGCTCTACCTCAGTTGTCTTTAGGGAAATGCAAACCAAACGTTGCTGAGGCTGTGGAGAAATCGGAGGCTGTGTGCACCATTGGTGGGGAAGTAAAACAGCTCAGCTGCAGCACCCAGCATGACGGTTGCTCAGAAAATCAAAAATAGGACGAGCCATATGATCTCCACTTGCAGCGACACTTCTGGGTGTATACTCAAGAGAACGCGAATCAGATTCTCAGAGATATGGTGTGTACAACCATGGTCGCAGAAGCTGCTTGCCCAGTAAAAACGCAGAAGCAGCGCAGCACGCAGGGGCGGATAAACAGATAATCAAATGTGCTCTAAACAGCACTGACTATCAGTGCACCTGCTACCACGCGGACCAACCCTGAGGACGTGGTGCTCTGCCAAACAAGCCAGTCACGGAAGACCAACGCTGGGTGATTTCGCTTTTATGAGGTGCTCAAAGAAGCTGCACTTACGGGAGGTGCTTCCATAGTAGACGCGCAGACTCCACGGTGCTAGAAGGCACAGCAGTGATTTTCAGGGTCTGAGGGATGGAGCAGAGAAGAAGTTACTGTTTAATTGCTCTAGTTTTTCAGCATGAAGAGCCCTGGGGGTGACGGATGTACAATATGAATGTGCTCAATGCCATTGAATGATGCATTGAAAAATGGCGAAGATAGTAAATTGTATGCATGTGCATTTTACCACAATAGAAAAGGCGGGGGGAGAGCAGGCTGTTCACATAAAGAGAAATGGAAATGGCCAATAGAAATATGAAAATATGGGGCCAGCGCTGTGACTTAGCAGGTAAAGCCACCTCCTGCAGTGCTGGCATCCCATACGGGATCTCTCTCTCTCTCTAACTCTGACTTTCAAATAAATACATCTTTTTTTTTCTTTTGACAGGCAGAGTTAGACAATGAGAGAAAGACAGAGAGAAAGATCTTCCTTCCATTGTTTCACTCCCCTAAGGGCCGCTACAGCCAGTGCTGTGCCAATCCGAAGCCAGGAGCCAGGTGCTTCTCCTGGTCTCCCATGGGGTGCAGGGCCCAAGCACTTGGGCCATCCCCCACTGCCTTCCCAGGCCACAGCAGAGAGCTGGCCTGGAAGAGGGGCAACCGGGACAGAATCCGGCGCCCCAACCGGGACTAGAACCCGGGATACCGGCGCTGCAGGTGGAGGATTAGCCAAGTGAGCCACGGCACCAGCCAATAATCTTTTAAAAATATGCTAACCTCATTCAAACTCAAACCACGAGGAAAGGGGCCTGCCCTGTGGCACTGCAGGCTAATGCCCTGGCCTGAAGCGCCGGCATCCCATATGGGCACCAGTTCGTATCCTGACTGCTCACTTCCAATTCAGCTCTCTGCTAGGGTCTGGGAAAGCAGTAGAAGGTGGCCCAAGTCCTTGGACCCTGCACCCATATGGGAGACCCGGAAGAAGCTCCTGGCTCCTGGCTTCAGATTGGCACAGCTCCAGCCGTTGCGGTCATCTGGGGAGTGAACCATCGGATGGAAGACTCTCTCTCTCTCTCTCTCTGTCTCTGTCTCTCTCTCTCTGTGTAACTCTTTTTTTTTTTTTAATTTTATTTAATGAACATAAATTTCCAAAGTACAGCTTATGGATTACAATATGTGTGTGTAACTCTGACTTTCAAATAAATAAATCAATCTTAAAAAAAAAAAAAGCCATTCACCCCCTCTACCAAAATGGCAACAGTTTTCATTAAGTACACATGTTTAATTTAGTTAATGATAATTCCAAGGGTTGATGGAGATTCTCCTATGGGGCGGGTGAGAGTGTGAATTGCTAGGGCCCACAACCAGCAGTTCCACCCACACTATATATACTCTGGAGAACCTTACGTTGCTAGGTGCAAGGGTATCCATGGAGGCCTTGTGTGCAATAGGGAGAAAACTGGGGGAGAAGGCCCTCCACAGCAGATTAGCAAGCATCACCTAACGACAGCAATACAGATGGTCCTCAAAAACCAGAGTCAAAGAAGAAAGGCAAGAACGCAGAGTATGATGTTAGACACACAGCTCTGAAAATGGGCAAAATCAATCCCCTATTGATATTTTATAAGTGATAAAAGTATACAAAATCAATTGATCATCATGAAGTTTGACCCACTGTTTATCCCCAGGGGACAGGAACGGGTTGGAGAGGAAAAAAACCGATGGAAGAAGTCGTCTGAGTCCTGGCACTGTTTTATTTCTTACCTTGGATATAATTGCCTATGTATATTTAGACACATTAGCAAATATGTATCTATATTTAACTATAGACAGGTATACATGTAGATACTGCACTTTCTATATGTACCATATAGTCTATATCACCAAGTTAATCAGTACAAAAGAAGGGGTTGCGTGTGAACCTATCTCATTTTTTAAATGTGCATTTATTTGAAAGGCAGAAGTGACAGAAAGAGAGAAGCCTTCCAACTGCGGGCTCACCCGAGATGCCCACAACTGCCAGAGCTGAAGCCAGGGCCCGAGAATTCCATCCGAGCTCCCGCATGGGCGGCGAGGACTTGAGCTACGCAATACCAGAAAGCTGGGCTGAACGTAGAGCCACGACCCAAGCCCAGGCACTCCTCTTTGGGAGGCAAGTGTTCTAAGAAGCAGCTTAGCCCACCATACCACAACGCCAGCCCCCGTAGCTCTCATTCTAATACTTTGCACAAGGCGGTTAAACTAAAAGAACCCTGGATCTCAGCTCCTTAAGAACAATAAACTATTTAGATGCTTCCAGGAAGGAACTACCAGGGTTCTTCTCCCTCTCTTTATGACCTGTGGCTATGTCTGGGGCCCAGGGAGATGTCTATTTCACATTTGTGCGAGTTTTAAAATAGTAGTGATTTTGCCCTTGTGGTAATAAGCAGCTGGAGCAAAGGAGGAGGTTTTTGAAGCATGACATAAGCTTTAGAAGTGCACTGCAGAGGCAGGTGTTTGGTCCAGTGGTTAAGATGCCGTCAGGACGTCCACATCCCATATCGGAGTGCCTGCATTCAAACCCTGGCTCCACACTGCTCCCAGCATCCTGCAACTGTGCACCCTGAGGCAGCAGGTTGGGGCTGAAGTTACTGGGTCCCTGCCACCCACATGGGAGGCATGGCTTGAACTCCTGGCTTCCGGTTTCAGCTCCGCCCAGTTCTGGCCAGTGGAGGAGTGAACCAGTGGATGGGAGTCCCCCCACCCCTCATTCTCTCTCTTTCAAATAAATGAACAATCTTTTAAAAAGTGCACTTTTAAAAAGGATTTATTTCTTTATTTGAAAGTCAGAGTTACACAGAGAGAGAAGGAGAGGCAGAGAGAGAGAGAGAGAAAGTGAGGTCTTCCATCCACTGGTTCACTCCCCAATCGGCCACAATGGCTGGAGCTGAGCTGGGCCGATCCAAAACCAGGAGCCAGGAGTTTCTTCCAAGTGTCCCATGTGGGTGCAGGGGCCCCAGGACTTGGGCCATCTTCTACTGCTTTCCCAGGCCATTAGCAGAGAGCTGGATGGGAAGTGGAGCAGCTGTGACTCGAACCAGTGCTCATATGGGATGTTGGCACTGCAGGTGGCTGCTTTACCCGTTATGCCACAGCGCCGGTCCCAAAAAGTGCACTTTCAAAAAACAGAAATGGCTACAAACAGAAATAGTCTATAATGGGTGTAGTCTGGTTTGAGATCCCAGAGGTGTGTGAGCTACGGCTCTCGCTTACTCCTGAGGGTTGATGGTGCACATTATATATATATATATATATATATATATAATCACATCACATTTTTTCTTTCTATTTATTTATTTATTTATTTATTATTTTGACAGGCAGAGTGGACAGTGAGAGAGAGACAGAGAGAAAGGTTTTCCTTTGCCGTTGGTTCACCCTCCAATGGCCGGTGCACCGCGCTGATCCGAAGGCAGGAGCCAGGTACTTATCCTGGTCTCCCATGGGGTGCAGGGCCCAAGCACTTGGGCCATCCTCCACTGCACTCCCTGGCCACAGCAGAGAGCTGGCCTGGAAGAGGGGCAACCGGGACAGAATTTGGCGCCCCAACCGGGACTAGAACCCGGTGTGCCAGCGCCGCAAGGTGGAGGATTAGCCTAGTGAGCCACAGCACGGGCCTCTTTCTTTTCTTTTCTTTTTTTTTTTTTAAGATTTTATTTATTCAATTTTATAGATAGAGTTACAGACAGTGAGAGGGAAAGACAGAGAGAGGTCTCCCATCCCCTGGTTCACTCCTCAAATGGCTGCAACAGCTGGAGTTGGGCTGATCCGAAGCCAGGAACCAGGAGCTTCCTCCGGTCTCCCACGTGGGTGCAGGGGCCCAAGGACTTGGTTCATCTTCCACTGCTTTCCCAGGCCACAGCAGAGAGCTGGATGGGAAGTGGAGCAGCCGGGACTAGAACTGGCGCCTATATGGGACCTCAACACCACAGGCAGAGGATTAATTTACTGCACCACAGCACTGGCTCAATACATCACATTGTTACCATGAAACTCTGCCACGGTGGGAATATTTTCACCCTGGAAACGGGCAAATGATAAATACCACAAATCAGCATCTCTGCACCCATCCCGGGCAGTTATGAAGCTTTGGTCATCACACCACTGCTTAAGGAGTAAGAATGCTAGTAAGCATTTAGACTCCCCGCCCCTCCCCTCTTTGGAATAGCTTAAGCTACTTGACAAACAGCTCTCTCAAGAGAGGCAGAAGAGGCCAGCGTTGTGGCATAGTGGGTAAAGCTACTGCATGCAATGCCAGTATCCCATATGGACACTGGTTCTAGTCCTGGCTGCTCCTCTTCTGATCCAGCTCTCTGCTGTGGCCTGGGAAAGCAGTGGAAGATGGCCCAAGTCCTGGGGCCCCTGCACCCACGTGGGAGACCTAGAGGAAGCTCCTGGCTTCTAGTTTTAGCCTGGCCCAGCCCTGGCTATTGTGGTCATTTGGGGGGTGAACCAGCAAATGGAAGATTTTTCTCTCTTCCTCTCTCCTCATAACTTTGACTTTCAGATAAATAAATAAATTTGGAAATGAGGAAACTTAACTGATAAAAAAATTCAGAAAATATTAAATTGAAGAGTTGGGGAAAAAATGGAAGAATAAAGCAAACTTGAAATTACTTTAATGTTGCTAATAGGAAAAAGGAAAATTATTAACATTGTCTATTCCTTCTTTGGTAGCTTCCTCAACAGCTGATTTTTATATCCAACTACTGCTTCAGGAGAAAATAAAACTATCGGGGCTGACACTGTGGCACAGCAGGTTAATGCCCTGGCCTGAAGTGCCGGCATCCCATATGGGCGCTGGTTCTAGTCCCAGCTGTTCCACTTCCCATCCAGCTCTCTGCTGTGGCCTGGGAAAGCAGTAGAAGATGGCCCAAGTCCTGGGGCCCCTGCACTCACATGGGAGACCCAGAAGAAGCTCCTGGCTCCTGGCTTCGGATCGGCGCAGCTCCAGCTGCTGCAGCCATCTGGGGAGTGAACCAGTGGATGGAAGACCTCTCTCTCTGTCTCTACCTCTCTCTGTAACTCTGACTTTCAAATAAATAAAATAAATCTTTAAAAAAATAAAATAAAACTATCCTCTTTCCTTGGACGTAAGAAGATGGAAACGGGGTGCCTATTTGGACTGCCACACTGTTAGGGGCTAAGGTCTTCAGAATTTAAAGCAAAGCAAGTCTTTGTTCCTGATCCTTGCACCTCCCAGCTATTTCATCAAGGCTTCTGTGGGTTTACTAAGCTTACATCAATTTGGGACACAGAAGCGTTACTCAGCCAGTCTTTCTGCGGGGTGGAAAATTCTACACAGCCGGGCTGGGCCAGGCTGAGCCAGGAGCCTGGAACTCCATCCGGATCTCCCTCAAGGATGCCAGGGGCTGATTCCTTGAGCCCTCACCTGCTGCCTCCCAGGGTGTGCAACGGCAGGAAGCTGGAGTCAGGAGCAGAGCTGGGACTCGAACCCAGGTCCGCTGGTTCAGAATGTGGGCATCCCAGGCAGCAGCTTAACCAGTACACCACCCGCCTGCCCCTTCGTTGTCTCCTAAGCACCATGTTCTGTATGTTCCACCACGACGACGCACGTGTTCCACGTTGACAAGAACGTAAGACAGATTACAAAGTGCGAGTACAAAGTGCTTGGAATATACTTAACTTTTCTGTTTTCCAGTGTACATTTACAAAGATACCGTGTGAGCTGTTTGTCAGTTATATTGCTGAAGTCAAGGCTACTGAGTTTGTGTGCCCAGCTAACTGCCAGTTATTTGGCCAACACTGTTAGTCTAGTACAACAATCTCCCCAAGCCCATTCGTCTTCCAGGAGTCACCGTTCTCTTTCAGTAAGTTTTAAGGGGGCGGGCGCTATGGAGCAGCAGTTTAATGCCCTGGCCTGAGGCGCCGGCATCCCATATGGGCACTGGTTCGAGACCTGGCTTCTCCACTTCCAATCCAGCTCTCTGCTATGGCCTGGGAAAGCAGTAGAAGATGGCCCAAGTACCTGGGCCCCTGCGCTCATGTGGGAAACCCAGAAGAAGCTCCTGGCTCCTGGCTTTGCATTGCCCCGACTCCACCCATTGTGACCAATTGGGGAGTGAACCAGAAGATGGAATACATTTCTTCTCTGTCTCCCCCCAACCTCCATCTGTAACTCTGCCTCTCAAATAAATTAAAAAAAATTTTTAAGTCTATGTCTCTCTGTCCCTGTCTCTCTCTCTCTCTTTCTCTCTCTCTCCTCCTCTCTTTATGTTGCTCTACATTTCAAAAAATTATTTTTTTTAAGTCAAGATAAGGTTGGCATTTGGCCTAGCAGTTGGGATGTGGGTTGTGACATCTGCATTGCAAATTGGAGTGCTGTGTTTGAGAGCCAACTCCACTCCAAATTCTGGCATGCCTGCTAAGGTGCTGATGCCCGCCCTGGGAGGCAGCAGGTGACGGCTCAGGTGTTTGATCTCTGGTGCCCACATGGGAGAGTTAGGCTTCAGCCCAGCTGCTGTGGGCATTTGGAAAGTAAACCAGTAGATGGGAGCTTTCTCTCTCTTTCTGTCTCTCAAATAAAAAGCAATCAATTAATCAATAGTTTTAAAAGACAATCAAGGACTTGGACTCGTGGCGTGCGGGGACAGGCGCTGTGTGCCTTCGGTCCTCCCTGGGGGCAGGGTCGGGCGGGAGGTTGTGGCCGCAACCTGCTCCCCGCCCCGCAGCCCGAGGAGGAGGACGAGGAGGAGCCGGCGCTGGAGGAGCTGGAGCAGCGCGAGGTGCTAGTGCTGGGCCTGGACGGCTCGGGCAAGAGCACGTTTCTGCGCGTGCTGTCGGGGAAGCCACCGCTGGAGGGCCACATCCCCACCTGGGGCTTCAACTCCGTGCGACTGCCCACCAAGGACTTCGAGGTGGACCTGCTGGAGATCGGCGGCAACCAGAACCTGCGCTTCTACTGGAAGGAGTTTGTGAACGAGGTGGATGTGCTAGTGTTCATGGTGGACTCGGCTGACCGGCTGCGGCTGCCCTGGGCCCGCCAGGAGCTGCACAGGCTGCTGGACAAGGACCCCAACCTGCCTGTCGTCGTGGTGGCTAACAAGCAGGACCTGAGCGAGGCCTTGAGCGTGGTGGAGCTGCAGCAGGAGCTGGGCCTGCAGGCTGTCGACACCCAGCGGGAAGTTTTCCTCTTGGCGGCCAGCGTAGCTCCTGCAGGCCCTGGCTTTGAAAATCCCGGCACTGTGCACATCTGGAAACTGCTCCTGGAGCTTCTCTCCTAGGCCGGAGCCCACCTGCTCGCTGCCCACCTGGGGACCACAGTGCTGCTGCTGCTGCTTCCTCGCCAGCTCAGGCCTGGAGTCCAGGCCTGGGGCACTTTCCTTCTCCCTCCTTTCACTCCTAAGAGCGAGGCCAAGAATCAAGCAGAAGCCTTCCTGCCCTGAGGCTGAAGCAGGGAGGTGGGTGAAGCCATCCTTGGGAGAGGAGAGTACCTGGCTCATTCTCTGCGCCAGCACAGATCAGCCTCTCGTTCTCTTTCCTGTGCAGAGTGATGCGGGGGTGGGGGTGGGGGTGGGGGCAGTGCTCCCCCTGGCAGTTCCCAGCAGCAGTGCAGTGCGGGAGGGACTCCTGGAGCCTCGGGATCTCCTGGTCTGGCCTCTGGCCTTCTCCCGCGGGCAGGCTCTAGGCACTGCGCAGTGAGCCGTTGCTCCCGGTCCCGCGCTGTACTCCCGCCCCGCTCTGCCTAAGTGGCTTGTGGCCTTCCTTGTGCAGTTGCTGCCTCTCTGGCCCTCGGGCCATCGTTGCTAAAGGAGAGTGATTTCCAGGTTTTCCTAACTTGGAAATGCAGTTCCCAGCCAGTGCTAGGATGAACCTGGAAACCCCGGCCAGGAGCTTTGGGGAGACCCTCCCTGCTTCCGCAGCCTGCCAGCCTCCCCTGATAACAGAACGAGTGGTACTCACCCACGACACGGAACGGGAGAGGGCTGCCTTCCCCCCAAGTCTGGAGACAAGCTGCTGCTTTTGTGCTAACTGTGCCAGTGCCATGTTTACACAAGTCTGGGGTAAGACGGAGCCCGTGTCCCGGGAAGATCATCGGCTGGAGCTGGGGTTGGCCTCAGAACTGCGTTTTATTTATTTATTTATAAAAGGAACAGGCCACAGTTCTAGGTTCTGTTTCTAGGTGCTGTTATCAAAACCCCAGATGACCCCAGAACATGTGGGACTTTGCAGACAATACCTTGGAAGCACGAATGACAATGAGATAACCTGCAGACGCCAATGGAGACAGAGCTGTAGCATCCCACCCCAGACCCCTGGCCTTTGAGCCTTTGACTGATACCATAATATTTCACATGGATTCACTTGACCTTACTTAAACTCCCGACCTGGCCCCGTATGTTGAAGATCCCTTCTTGGAGACTGTGGGAGAGGAAATTTTTGTTATGCCCAAAAAACCATGAAAATGTTTCCATCTGGTGACCCCAAAGGACACGAGCAGCAGACCACATACCAGAGCCTCTCTGGACCCATTCAGTCCCCAGCAGATGCAGAATTGCACTGAATCGCTGGGGTTCTCTCCAGTGCACATCCCATGGCTCCCATGCTCAGCGGAAGGCCAGTCTCTGTTGACAGTTCTCGTGGGGGCAGCCAGGAGCCTTTGGTCTGTCAGGGCCTCCTGAATAGTCAGCAGTGCCCAGTGGACTTTTCCTGTAGGACAGGCTGTCCCACTGCGTTGCTTTCTGATGGAGCATAGAGATTGTGTGCCTTTGTTTCATTTGCTATTGTCCCAGCATGCGTCAGTTCTGTACCACAGCCAGTGTAGAAGGGGCGAGGGCGGGGGACAGAAGCCTGGATGGGAGTGTGCTCATCGGGACCACTGGAGGAGTGGGCTGCAGGACAGCACAGTGGAAATGCTGTTCTTTGAGTTGCCAACCCACTTTCCACAGTCAGAAGTGATTTTTCTGCTTTTGTATTGAGCGTGTAAGGAATATCTTGGGTTTTAGAGTAGTGAGACTGCTGGCAACTTTTCCTTTTGGGAACCGATCTCTGTTCAGTGACCTCTGCCTTGCGCTCCAGCGTCACAGGGTTGCCTTGGGAACCAGCATTCCTTGTTGAGAGGGACCCTTTTTCCCAATGAAGATCTGCCTTTGTCCAATGAATACCATTCTGTAGAACAATTTTCTAAGTCCCCAGCAAGGGGAGGTGAGTTTGAATAAAGAATTTCACTCCGTGTAAAAAAAAAAAAAAAAAAAAAAGACAATCAAGATCTGTGTGCTAGGTGTGCTCCTTGCTATTGTGATACTCCTGCTGCTAAGTCTTTGGGTTGAAAAAGCTAGGCATGCACACACACACACACACACACACACTCTAGTAGGTACACACCTACTATTATTGTTATCTGTATCTGTATTGACAACTCTGCTTCCAACTGATTCCAGTCCAACATCATGAAGTTCATTCCAGTTCTCTATATTACTATGTTTTAAATTCCCTTCTCGGACAGTGAGAAACCTGCCCCCACTATCCACTTTTTAAAAGATTTATTTATTTATTTGAAATTCAGAATTACACAGAAAGAGAAGAGAGAGAGAGAGAGAGAGAGAGAGAGAGAGAGATGTCTTCCATCCACTGGTTCACTCCCCAGTTGGCCACATTGGCCAGAGCTGTGCCGACCTGAAGGCGGGAGCCAGGAGCTTCTTCCGGGTCTCACACACAGGTGCAGGGGCCCAAGGACTTGGGCCATCCTCTACTGCTTTCCCAGGCCACAGCAGAGAGCTGGATGGGAAGTGGAGCAGCCGGAACTGGAACCGGCACCCATATGCGATGCCAGCACTGCAGGCGGCAGCTTCACCTGCTATGCCACAGTGTCATTCCACCCCGCCCCCCGCATTATCCTTAATACAGTTAGAAGTGAATTGTGGGCCGGCGCCGTGGCTCAATAGGCTAATCCTCCACCTTGCGGCGCCGGCACACCGGGTTCTAGTCCCGGTCGGGGCGCCGGATTCTGTCCCGGTTGCCCCTCTTCCAGGCCAGCTCTCTGCTGTGACCAGGGAGTGCAGTGGAGGATGGCTCAGGTGCTTGGGCCCTGCACCCCATGGGAGACCAGGAAAAGCACCTGGCTCCTGGCTCCTGCCATCGGATCAGCGCGGTGCGCCGGCTGCAGCGGCGGCCATTGGAGGGTGAACCAACGGCAAAGGAAGACCTTTCTCTCTCTGTCTCTCTCTCTCACTGTCCACTCTGCCTGTCAAAAAAAAAAAAAAAAAGAAGTGAATTGTGTTCTTCATGGTAGCATGCTCTAAAGGCTGTGCCAACGCTGACCACTCCCAGAGAAGTACAGGGTTAGGTTGCTGCAAGTCGCTGGTCACATTTTTATCACCCAATCACACCTAATCCAGTTTTATGTGTGTTTGTTTGAAGACACCTTATATGATAAATGAGGGTACTTCATATACTTGTTACAAAAATGTTGAAATCTATGCATAGTTTTTCCATAACATGCATTTTTCATGAGTTTTTGAAGAGCCCTTGTATATGTAGAACTCAAAAATGTCTTTGTACCAAAATAAAAATATTTACACATTTTTAAAAGATATATATAATTATTTATTTGAAAGGCAGAGTTAGAGAGAGAGAAAGAGAGAGATTGTCTATCTGCTGGTTCACTCCCCAAAAGGCTGCAGTGGCTGGGCTGGGCTAAGCTGAAGTTAGGAGCCTGAAACTCCATCTGGATCTCCCACTTGGGTGGCAGGAGCCCAAGCACTCAGGTCATTTTATAGTGCTTTCCCAGGCACATTATCAGGGAGCTGGATTAGAAGTGGAACAGCTGGGACTGGAACGGGTGCCCTTAAGAGATATTGGTGTTACAGCATCTGCTTAACCTGCTGTGTACTACAACATTAGCCCCAAAATAAACTTATCTTTTTAAAATTTATTTTATTTATTTATTTATTTATTTTTTTACAGACAGAGTGGACAGTGAGAGAGAGAGACAGAGAGAAAGGTCTTCCTTTGCCGTTGGTTCACCCTCTAATGGCCGCCATGGCCGGCGCGCTGCGGCCGGTGCACCGCGCTGATCCGAAGGCAGGAGCCAGGTACTTCTCCTGGTCTCCCATGGGGTGCAGGGCCCAAGCACTTGGGCCATCCTCCACTGCACTCCCTGGCCACAGCAGAGAGCTGGCCTGGAAGAGGGGCAACCAGGACAGAATCCGGCACCCCAACCGGGACAAGAACCCGGTGTGCCGGCGCTGCTAGGCGGAGGATTAGCCCAGTGAGCCGCGGCGCCGGCTTATCTTTTAATTCCATTTTACATGAATTTTTAAAAAGATTTATTTATTTATTTATTTATTTATTTGAAAGGCAGAGTCACAGAAACAGAGAGAGAGAAAGCGAGAGGTCTTCCATCCATTGGCTCACTCTCCAAATGGCCACAATGGCTGGAGCTGAGCCAGTTGGAAGCTAGGCCTCCTCCAGGCCTCCCACAAGGGTGCAGAGACCCAAGCACTTGGGCCATCTTTTTTATATATATTTTATTTATTTATTTGAGAGGTAGAGTTACAGACAGTGAGAGGGAGAGAGAGAGAGAGAAAGGTCTTCCTTCCGTTGTTCACTCCCCAAATGGCCGCACCTATTCGAAGCCAGGAGCCAGGTGCTTCTTCCAGGTCTTCAGCCAGGTGCAGGGCCCAAGCGCTTGGTCCATCTTCCACTGCTTTCCCAGGCCACACCAGAGAGCTGGATTGGAAGAGGAGCATCTGGGACTAGAACTGGCCCCCATATGGGATGCCAGCACTGTAGGAGAAGGATTAACCTACTGTGCCACAGCACCAGCCCCCTTGGGCCATCTTTAACTGCTTTCCTAGGCCAGAGCAGAGAGCTGGATCAGAAGTGGAGCAGCCAGGACTAGAACCAGCTCCCATATGGGATGCCGGCACTGCAGGTGGGGTATTAACCCACTATGCCACAGCGCTGGCCCCCATGGAAAAAATGTTTTTTTTTTTTTTTTTTTTTTTTTTTTTTGTTTTTTTTTTAGAGAGAGACAGAGAGGTCCCATTCACTGGTTCACTCCTTAAATGTCTGCAAAGGCTGAAGCTGGATTGGGACCAAAACCTGATCAGGAACTCAATCCCTGTTTCTTGCGTGGGTGATAAGAACCTAACTACTTGCGGGGCCGGCGCTGTGGTGTAGCGGGTATAGCCGTTGCCTGCAGTGCTGGCATCCCATATGGACGCCAGTTCAGGTCTTGGCTGCTCCATTTCTGATCCAGTTCTCTGCTCGGGTCCAGCTCTCTGCTATGGCCTGAGAAACAGTGGAAGATGGCCCAAGTCCTTGGGCCCCTGCACCCACGTGGGAGACCCGGAAGAAGGTCCTGGCTCCTGGCTTCAGATCAGCTCAGCTCCCGCTGTTGCGGCCAACTGGGGAGTGAACCAGCAGATGGAAGACCTCTCTCTCTCTCTCTTTCTGCCTCTCCTTTTCTCTCTCTGTAACTCTTTCAAATAAGTAAATAAATCTTTAAATAAAAAAAAAAAAGCAGCTACTTGCCATCCCCTAGGGTCGGCCTTGGCAGGAAGCTGGATTCAGGAATCAGAGTTGGGAATTTCACCCAGGCAATCTGATGTGGGGTGGGATGTGGGTGTCTTAACCTCTAGGCCGAATGTCTGCTCCCACATGAATTTCTGAAGCTTCCTTGTGCATTGTTGATTCATTAAACATTGAAGTCATGGCCAGCAGCACTATAACTCCTGCTTGACCGAGGCTTAGTCATCTCAGTAAAGCACATCACAGCCTATTTGCGGTGGAAACACTCCAGCACTGAGCTTCGGGGTGGGGGAGCATTTTAAATGGTGGAATCATCATAAAAAAGCAAAAGCAAAAGTTACAAACATGGCAGCGAAAAGATGGTGAAAAGGCTGGCAAAGAAAAAAAAAAGATATCTGTTGACACCACGAGAGCTGAAGTCAGAACCCGGAGCAAAGCCTTGTTTGGCTTCAGCTAGGAGGGGACGCATCAGGTGGCCCACGTTTTTGCTGCCCTTTGCCTATTGATGAACGGCCAAGGAAGCATCACAAGTATTGATTTTGCGGTTCCAGATAAATGCTGGCAACTCGGTGAATTCTCAGACGTGGAAGCCTCAGACGATGAGGGTTGCTTGTGCTGTTTGGATCCGTTTCCCCCTTCGTAACCCGTCATTCATCGACACAGATCTTTCTGAATGGGAGGAGAACGGGAGAAGCAGCTTGTAGGCGAAGCGCTTGCGCTTCTGCGTCTCCCCAGTCCCAGAGAGCCTGCTGACCTACAAGCTTCAGTGAGTAATGAACTTGCTGACCCAGGCCTCTGACAAGGGAACCAGCCTGCTCCTGGAGGAAGCCCTTGGGGTTTTGGACCCTGGGCCACCCTGCCACAGTGACACAAAGACTCCTTTTGCAAAGCAGCTGTGAGCCTGCTACTGGGCTCGCGTGGAAACGGAATGCCTGATGGACAGCTGCCTCGTGACTTTCGGTCTGATGTTTTCATTTTTGGATGCCTCACCTGGAACTGAATGGCTAACCAGGTGGGTCAGATGCAATACACTTTGCTTGTCAACTGGACATGGAATATTCCAGAAAGCCACTTTTCTGACCACCACCAACCCCCCAGAGGCATCTGAGCCTTGTAGGAAAACACAGCAAAACTCTGCCCCCGGGAGAAACTTTCTCTTCTCTCTTCTCCTTGTTTTTGTTTGCTTGTTTGTTTTCTGCTGGCTCCTGGGGGACTCTCATTCAGTTTCCCCCAAATGCCTGGGCCCAATTCACTGATGGCTTGGATAAGCTAAAACCAAATGGGAGTGTACTGCGCTACCTCGGCTGTTCTGCCTCGGCGTCGCCCATGTGGAGCAGGAAGTGCACGTGGGTACCCACTCTGTGGGCGGAACTTAAGGCCAGTCTCTTATCTGTGACCAACAGCCCTCTTCATGAAACCTCGGTTTGTTCGTATGGACTCCCCGGCTGTTGCCAGTGGCCTAAGTCTTTGGTCTGCACTTGGAACACTACAGACTAAAAACTCCCCCACGGTAGAGTGGTGAATGGTAGAAGCCAACCGCAGCCGCTGACGTTGCGTCTCCCGTGGGAGGGGCCCATTCTCGCTGCGAGTGATTGGACTCACGCTACTGCAGCTGCTGGTGCCACCCTGCTCGTCACCATGGTTACCTGTGTGCGTCGCTGTAGGAGACATAATGCAACCCCCACTGCTACGGTTTGAATATGGTT